TTATTAATTCATTGTTCAAGAAAGTTAAATAATGATGGATTAATTGGCATGCAAATAGCTAACAAAAAGTTTTATGCCAAGTTTGACTCATAAAGCAAAAAAAAAAAGATTTTTTTTATAGAAGAATTAGCCAAAAATCTGATCATAATAGCAATAATCATGGTTCACTATATAGTTTATGCTTTGTTTTTTTTTTTATATGGCACAGAACTAGACTTTGCCTTTTTTCCAAAGTGATTTTTACTCTCTTATTTCTTTCTTCACAGTTTTTACATTTAAAGTAGACCTTCTCAGATTAGTTTCCAACAAGGCTAAAAATCCCAGTCTCTCCTACTAGTGAATTAGTAAAAAAAAAAAAAAAAAAGATTAGGTAATGACAACAGAATTTCAGATAACATTTATGTTGTTTTACAATATTTACTCTGATGTGTTCATATTTTAATCAAACTCATATAATCTCTTTGTATAGAATCAGTACTGAGATTTTAATTATTTTTTTTTTTTTTTAATTTCATAGACCATTATCTGTATTTCTCTTCATTCATTTGCTGATTCTCTTAGAACTGATAGGCTTCTCATCATATCAGAAGAAATAGCAATCCCAGAATGATTATCAAGATTATGCAACATGTAGCCTGTCAATGTTGAAAATCATTTAGAAAATTCTTCAAATTATAAGCTGAAAGTCTCCACATATTTTAAATAATGCCAATCTTAAGTTTACAAGATATTTACATTTCTCATACATGATGACAAGTCCAAATGTTAAGCAATATTAAAACCTTTCTATACCTGTATGAGTAACTGTTAATTCTTAAAGCCATAAGAAGAAAAGAAAAATAAATTAACTGAAGAAAATGCAGTTCCTACTTAGAAGGAAAGTAACTGAGTTTGTATCTTTCAGACTAACAAAGACATTTAATTTTTTCATTCAATCAATTCTGATACAGAATTGTCAACCCCTATTGATAAAGGTTCAATATATCACCCTCCACCAATTTTCAGTTCTCTTTTTTTTAAGCACAGCTAAAATCTTGGGCTTATGGTCATATCTTGTTGAAGTTAAGCAGTGTCAAGCATTGTCAGTACCTTGACGGATGACCACTTGGAATTACAGGTGCTGCAAGCTTGGATATATGGGTGTTATGATGGGTAATGGCTTTGAATTGTTAATTAGAGCGCCGATTTCCAATTTCATTTCACTTCATTATATTCACTTATGCACAAATAACAATATGAGAAAGGTATGAATTCAACTCTTCTCCCCCACCTATGGATGCCTTAATTAGCATGACTTGTATCATTAAATCATTATCTCAAAAAAAAATTTAAAAATTCCTACAATCTAAATATATTTTTGGGTATTAAATAACCGGCAAAACCATTAAAAAAAAAATGTCCCAAATTTTCTTTTCATTTTCTTCAATAAAAATGATTTTTTTTTTTTTTTTTTTTTTTGTATAGCGGGGTGCTGAAAATTTCCCATCCTGACCAAGAAGCCCTTTTAAAAATTTTTGATGTTTATTCATTTGGTCAGCTTTTAGCAAGTAGGTCTGGCCAAGAACTTTTCAACACCTCCTTGTAGCTCTATCAGTGTTAACAGTGATGCATTTTGACTCCAGCACAGAGAATCAATCACGTGACTATCAATTCATTAGGAAACTGAGAAAATGTCGTCTTTGTTTCTTCAAAAAATACTTAAGAGACAAACTCAAAATGACCGATACTATAAGATTATTTGTAACAATCTATCACAAAAAGAGGTTTAATTGAGAAGAACTTTAAACTCAAAAGTTCAAGAAACATAAGGCATGAAATGGGTTTCTGAAAAAGGGGAAAATTGATAAAAAATAAAATTCTTTATTCTTGCTGCACAGAAACTGGATAATTTGACAAATGAATGAGTTAGCAACCTCCATGTATACATGTTTATGATAAATACATGAGATCATTTAGAAACTTTCTACTTTGACATGTTTTACTGATGAACCAGCATCACCAAAACAAAAAAAAACAGTTTTATTTCACAAGCACAAAATCTACATTATCAAAATAAAACAATTTATATTAAGTGACTGAATGCTTGATTTTTATTTTAACTTTATCATTACAGAAATTAAGAAAATAAACAATAAAAAAATGTTATATTAGGTTAAAATAAGTTCTATAATGATACAACTAAAGTAAAAAAAAGAGCAGTTCTATGCTCAACAAGAATTACATTTTGTCTCAATAATGTAGATTTTGTTCTTGTGAAATAAAATTCTTTTTCAGATAATCAGATAATACTGGCTCTTGGGCAAAACATGTCCAAGATGAAAATTTCCAATTTGACATATCTTAAGCATCTTATCAGATTTTAATTAAATTTATATATAATACATACATATATAGACTACTAGCTTAAAAGCTGCATTATCGGGTGTCATTTAAGCTAGCGCTCATGAAGAGGACTCTTGATTAGGTCTTTTGCCCAATAGTGACACTTCATGCATTGAGTACATATTAAATTTTATTAAACGTGAATAATATTTTTCATCAAAGCAGTGGATATAATTTATCTATTTGGAACTTATTGCAAAGCTGCATGATAAACAACATTCTTGGTTTTTCTATTCAGGGTTAGTAAAAATAGTTTGTTTTTATTCCTAATCCTTAAACAACCAACATAGAACTGTCCATGAGAAAAGCAGGGTACCATCAGATGAAGTACAGGTACTTTCAATAATTGTCCTTGGGACTTATTGAGTGACATTACATAGCTTACTCTAAGTGGAAACTGAAGTTATTTCTGGCTGAGTCTTTGAATATGGCTCCACATGTAAGAATTTTTCAGAGAGAGGTGTCCCTTTTAATTGAAAAAGTGTGACACACACAGACATTTTTGCATTTATTTATGAAAAATACATAAAGACAGTGAGATAATTGAAAGTGAGATAGGTGTGTCCCTTTTAATTGAAAAAGTGTCACACACAGAGACATTTTCACATTTATTATATAAGATATTTTTATAATACAAGTCAATGTTTTCATAATAAATTAGGAATTAACTGCTGTTAATAAAATTTTCAGATTATACTTATATTTATGAGAAAAAAAACCTTGTGAATTTCATCTTATATCTGATTTTATTAAAAAATATTTATTAATAACTCCAGGAGATTTTATTCTACAACTCAAGTATTTTTTATTATATTTGGAAAGAAAAAAGTAATAATGCAGTTTGTTTACACACACACATGTGCACATACAAGTTTTATTAAACAACACCAGCCAGGTCTGACTGTCCAACTTTTTTAGTTTTTTTTTTAACTTGCAAGTTGTTTTATGTCAGAATTAATTTTCCAAAGTTCTTTTATTTTATGAGAATTTTATTCTACTACTTTAAATTTTCTTTTGGAATTTGTATTTGAAATTATTGACACTATAATATGCTTATTGTATTAATCAAATATGTTCCTATGGGGATTTATTTCTAAAAAAAAATTTGATGAATTAGGTTTTGTTTTGTTTTTTTTGTTTTTCATCCCAAGCAAGGCAATAAAGCCACGAGGACACAAGGGGTTACTGAGTGCTAGAGAATATGAGAAAAAACTACTATTAATAAAAAAGGATAATACAAAAACAAGAATTAAGATAGAAGGTAACAAGATAACGGTTGACATTGCATTTAAATTTTTGATTAACAAAGTTGACTGGAAAGCAATCAGCCAAGAGAGTGTTCCACCAGTGAAAAGTGGAAGAAAAGAAACTGTTAGCATAGAACTTACATTTACATTTAGCCATTTCAACTGTAAAATGATGAGACCTTGCTGCCAATCAAGTACTGTACTTAAATTCATAATGTCTAGGTACCATAGAGGAAAGTTCATCAGAACAATTACCATGAAAATATTTATAGAATAGTCGCTGGGTGCTATGGTGGTGGGAAAGTGACTGAAGCTGAGATACCAGCTTAGGACTAATAACATTGCAGATTCTTTTTTGGATTTTATCAAGAATCTTAATTTATATAACAGGGTCATCAGACCAGATGTGACAGCAATACTCAAATCATGAAAGAATGGTACACTTCTAAATATGCAAGATAGATTCTGTTGAGAAAAATTGTCTAGCATAGTATAGTGAACCAACTTTTTTAGCTTTCTGACATAATAAAATCTGACACTCCCAAATAAAATAACAATATTTTTAATAATGTTATAAAACTAATGTGATATACTGTTCATATAAAGATAATGTGAAAATTTTATACTTACCTGTTAATTAAATATTGATTTTTATTGTGAAAACATTGACTTTCATAATAAAAACCAATATCGGTCTTCTAATATCAATTCACCTTTCATGTTGCCAATGCTTTAACACCTTTACATCCAGAAATTTATGCCTGAATTTCTTCTTTTTTCTTTTTCATCTTCCAGAAAGTAAAATTCAATTTGATGCTTTATTTCTAGCAAGTTTTAATTGCAACTGAATTTTAATTATTAATAGGCTGAACAATTTAGTTGTATCTTTGTCTGTATGAGTATTTTCTATTAAAACTATTCATTACAAAACAAGTATGTGGTTATGTAATTAAGCCAACATGTGTTTCCAGATTTGAAACCTGCAAATTATTTTTAAAAGAAACAATCACTCAACAGATTTAGTAATAACCTTCATGTCATCGAATGACAGTATCTAAATTAGTGTCTTGCTAGAAGAGAAAAGCTGTAAATAGTACTCTGCATATTTGAGTGCTTAGAGTCAAGGAGAAAGCCAAATCAAAATTATATGCATTATTTTTTATTCTGCTTTTTGATGAAGTAGATAATATATTTGTCAAAAGCAAAATCAACTCCAGACAACAGTAATAATAATCAACAAATTTATATTATGAAATTAGGACAATGTGAAAGTTTAACCAAATTTTAATCAACTTTTGAAAGATTCAATTTTGTATCAAGTTCAAAACCAATCACTATCCATTGTTCTCCATCTAAATAGATATAATCAATATGTTTCCCTCTGTAGTCTCTTTCCCAAAATCATGATTTTTTTTTCTTTAGTTTCTTTCTCTTTTTCCTCTTCTCTTGTTTTACTCTTTCTTCCACTCTCTAATTGATTGTTTCTTTCTTTTTTTCTATCCTCACTTTTGTTTTTTGTCTTTTTCTTTTTTTCTTATTCTTTGCTTGCCCTTCATTCCACCCTCTCTCATTGCTTGTTTGCATTCTTTCCTCTGCCTTCTCTCTTATTGTTTGCGTGCTCTCTTTCTTCTACCCTCTCTCTTTTATTGTTTACTTACTCTCTTGTTTTGCCCTCTCTTTCTCTCTCTCTTATTGTTTGCGTGCTCTCTTTCTTCTACCCTCTCTCTTTTATTGTTTACTTACTCTCTTGTTTTGCCCTCTCTTTCTCTCTCTCTTATTGTTTGCTTGTACTCTTTCTTCCACCCTCTCTCTTTTATTGTTTACTTACTCTCTTGTTTTGCCCTCTCTTTCTCTCTCTCTTATTGTTTGCTTGTACTCTTTCTTCCACCCTCTTTATTTATTGTTTACTTCTCTTGTTTTGCCCTCTCTTTCTCTCTCTCTTATTGTTTGCTTGTACTCTTTCTTCTACCCTCTCTCTTTTATTGTTTACTTCTCTTGTTTTGCCCTCTCTTTTCTCTCTCTCTTGTGTTTGCTTGTACTCTTTTCTTCCACCCTCTCTCTTTTATTGTTTACTTACTCTCTTGTTTTGCCCTCTCTTTCTCTCTCTCTTATTGTTTGCTTGCACTCTTTCTTCCACCCTCTCTTTTTTATTGTTTACTTACTCTCTTGTTTTGCCCTCTTTCTCTCTCTCTTATTGTTTGCTTGTACTCTTTTCTTACCCTCTCTCTTTTATTGTTTACTTACTCTCTTGTTTTTCTCTCTCTCTCTTATTGTTTGCTTGTACTCTTTCTTCCACCCTCTCTCTTTTATTGTTTACTTACTCTCTTGTTTTGCTCTCTCTTTCTCTCTCTCTTATTGTTTGCTTGTACTCTTTCTTCTACCCTCTCTCTTTTATTGTTTACTTACTCTCTTGTTTTGCCCTCTCTTTCTCTCTCTCTTATTGTTTGCTTGTACTCTTTCTTCCACCCTCTCTCTTTTATTGTTTACTTACTCTCTTGTTTTTGCTCTTTCTCTTTCTCTTATTGTTTGCTTGTACTTTTTTTCTTCTACCCTCTCTCTTTTATTGTTTACTTACTCTCTTGTTTTGCCCTCTCTTTCTCTCTCTCTTATTGTTTGCTTGTACTCTTTCTTCTACCCACTTTCTTGTTTGCTCTCTTTCTTCTGCCCTTGCTCTTATTCTGTGCTTGCTCTTTCTTTACCTCTCCCCCTTTTTACATACCCTTCTCTTCTTTTCTTGGGTGTTCTCTCTCAACTCCTACTTTTTTAAAAATTATTTTCCTTCTTTTCTGTCTCTCTCTCTCCTTTTTTATTCTTCTTTCAATTTCCTTCTCTTCTGACCAATTAGTTATTTTCATTTATTTGTTGGGTCAGTTACAATTTCCCCCTTTAATTGTAATTCATGGCAGTGTCCCATTTGGCATCTGACTACACCAAATCACCAAACCCCAATCAGCCAATTTGTCACCCCAGCCCCCTCACCTGGTCAATGGAACTTTGCTTCCATTATTTTCTCCAGGGGACAAGACTCAAAGGACATTTCATCTAATCCCTCAAAGAGCAACAAAGACAAATTGATTGACTTTTAATCCTTTGAGGTCACTAAAAGCAAATATCAAAAGACGTACTTATAACCTTTTAATGAGAGAAAAAACATAAACTAACGAGTTAATGAGTTACAACACTAGTCATGTTTGTTTCACAATAAACTTGAAGATGTCATTCATGATAAAATAGTAATGTTCGAACAGTTCACAATATGGATGTCAGAAATGACAATATTATGAACTGTTTTAGAGCTGGGAAATAGATATTCAAAACTATTTTTACTTTTTATAACAAAATTTTATTTAATGAATTAAAAAGATTATCTAAGGTGTATTGACATGATTAACAAATGATCATTACATTAAATTCTTTTATCCTACCTATCGTCATTCAGAAAAGACTATAAGTAAAGTCTGGTAGAATTTTGTATACTTACCTTTCCATTCTTATACCTAAAAGCCATTGATGGGAATTACAAATTTGCTGCTGTCTTTTATAATGCAGAATTTCATTTGATCTTACAAAGTGGGGCAGGAGAGAAAGTAAGAAGGAAAATGATTTCTTTGCTTGATGGACTCTGAAATCTCCAAGAGCTTGTAAATAATAAGTGTTTTTTTTTTCTCTTCTCCTAACACACACATTTTGCTCTCCCAAGAGAGCTTTTCAAGTGTCTAATACACAATGAAAACAAGTTGGCACCTTCAAAGTGAAAATACCTAACCATTTCTCACAACTACCAGCCTATATCATTAACTTAGCTAAGGTCCCTACTACTGTTACTTCTTGTTTTGCTGTTAGCATCTTTGAATTGTGAATGCCTAGTTCAGTCTTCCTTGCTGATTGGTTGAACTCTGATAAGTATTGTGGCATTGGAATTGTCTCACATATTGACTGAAGAAATAATGGTTCTTCTCCATTTCTATCCACCGCCTGACTTTCTTGACACTGATTCCTGATGTCTGCTGCTTTACTTGAATAGCCACCAGACTCTCTGACTTCACAGTATCATTATTAACACTTTCTCTTTTATGTTTATTTCTTATAGATTCCTTCTTTTTCTCTTTCTCTCTTGCTTTTTGCTTTCTTTCTTGGTCATCTTTTTCACTTTTCTTTTAATTTTAAAACTCTTACTCTTTCTTTTGTTGGTTTATGGCCATATCATGTTGAAACACCAGTTCCCATATAACCAAAGGTAAGCAACTTCAAGCCTGTTAAGTACTTAGATGGGTGATTTCTTGGAAATATTAAGTGCTGTAAGCTTGGATATATGGCAGTGCAATGGCTAATGGTTTAGAATTAGAAATTGGAGAGCTGAGTTTCAATCCCCATCAGGTTCATTATATTCACTTGTGCACAAATACCCTTGGGAATAGTATGAATTAACCTATTTTCACCCCCGCCTCCGCAAGTTATGTATTAGTGGAATTTGTATTAATAAACCATTTTTATCAAAAAAAAAATCTTACAATCTAAAATATATTTTTATAAATTTAAGTAGCCTGCAAAATGTTGATGAACAATAAAAAAAGGCAAATCAATCTTGTTATTCTTTCTTTTTGAAATTACTGTTTCCTCTCTCTTATATACATATTTGTCTTTATTTCTTTGTGTTTTTATGTATGAATATAATAATTTATATTCTTGGACATCAGACATTTAAACAAAATATACTTTAAAAGCAATTAAAAATTTAACCTATTTTACAGTTCATAATTTAAATATTTGTCATATAATAATAAAATGATATCAACTGACTTTGTATGTTGGTGACACTGCAAAAAATATATCACTTTACCAATAGTTACCAAAATGAATACTAATAAGTACTAACACTTGAATAGTTTTCCTCATTTCTTGGATCAGTTTCCTCTCCAACAACTTTTTGGGGGACATTTCTTTGTAATGTTGTATAAAAGAAGAGATGGCATTTCAATAAAGTTTATTTTTAGATGAAAGGTATGTTTTGATTTCTATTATTACTTGTTTATGCATAGCAGTGGAATATTGTTTACCTGAATTAGAAAAAGTGATTACTAATCATTTCTTAGCTGAGTGTCCATAATGATTGTCACCATGAGAAGTCAAATCAGCAAACAAACTTTGAATTCCAACCAAGTCTGTTCACTTCATACTAATGCCTTTCAGGAAAGACATGCATCCATCTTGTTTACTTGAGTGGCAGTCAGTCTAGGAGGAGGAAAATTTCATTCACATGCCATGAGACACAAGAAAGACATTTATGCCATTGAAGCATTATCTGGTTATTCACTGCAACTGTCTTGGACCTCACCTTGCCACTGGATCCTGAAGGAGATGATAAGAGGGTAGATCTGGATCTGCGTAACCTTGTACCTAAAAAAATTCAATTCATTGGTATTAATGGTGATGATCTTTGTCTACAGAAACTGAGAAGACACTAGTTTTATTGCAATGGCAGCTGCATTCTAAAAGCTAAGCAAGGTGCCGAGAAACAAAAAAAATTTCATGAGAAACAAAGAAAAGAGTGCCGGATTGCTATGTGATATCCCTTCTCTTACATGGCGCTGAATGTTGGACAGTTTCCCCATGCATGAGGAGAAAATTACATTTGTTTCTGAAGATATTAAGAATTCCACAACTTTAAATTCTTTGGGCACATAATGAGGAAGAAGAGTTTAGAAAACTTCATCCTCAGGGGGAATATTGAGAGCAAGAGAGAGAGGGGGGAAAGCAGCAAATCACTTACCCGTGGTTATAGATAGTGGAACATGGGACTGGGGCCTTAGCAAATGAAGAAAAACTGCTAAGAACAACATAAGAAAGTTATGGAGAGCCATGATCGCTGACGTGTGTCTTTGGGTTTGTTTTCAGGTCTAAATGAAAGTCAAAACTGTGTGTAAGGAAAATGTGTTGCAATTTTTATTACCTTATCAGATTCAATGACCAGATACCGGAAAAGTTATGTATATATATATATATATATATATATATATGTATGTATGTATGTATATATATATATATATATATGTGTGTGTGTGTGCACGTACCTCTAACCTGGATATAGAGCACTTTTACTCTATAAATATAGCATACCTTAAAACTGTATTTTATCATATCTCTTTTTCCTCTCATGTATATATATATATATATATATATATATATATATAATTTTTTTTTTTTAGTATAGGATATATTTCAAGCAAAAAAGAAATTGGGTTTTCATCTCTGTCTTCAGTTTTTACTTTTCAAAAAGATTGCTGAAAGATTTCGCACATACCTAATAAAATCCTTGTCATCATTAAAATAGTTAAGTTAAAAACTTTTCAGCAGTCATTGCCATCTTAAAGATTTTTTCTTAAATAATTCCAGACTTATCTCTGAGAACTCAGTGGAATCAGCAAGGCCAGGATTTTTGTTTCAGATGTCATTCAACAAGTGCTTCTCTTTTTCAAATCATCAGTGTTTACTGGGTTTAGCCACTTCCTTATTTATTTTGAAAGTTGTTTTAATTGCTCAATAATCAGATAAAAACAAGAGATCAGGCCTAATAAAAAGCAGATTTCTACAAATTGCTCTTTATAGCTGACTGTTATCCTAATTAGACTTCAATCCAAAAATAACAGGGTGTGTACAAACAAATTTGTTGAGGTTTCTGAAGAAACCATACATTTAACTTTGTGATGGTGTCTCACACACACACACACACACTATATATATATATATATATATATACACACACACATACACCCTATTCTGCAAATCAAAATATTTTTTTTGCATTTAATAATTCTCTAGACAAATACTAAATAAAACTTCAGTCTGAGTGATTCAGGCCTAAACACATCTTTATTCAGTTGGTAACTTTCATAACAACAACACATTTAAAAAAAATACTCAAACATAAATTTAGATACAATACACTCATTCACCCCATATAATCTGCAACCCATAAGCCGATTCAGCAAGAGAAATAACTGATAAAAATATTTTCATTGTAACAAAAACGCAGAAAATTTATAATGAAATTATTCTTTAAATAATTTTGTTAATGCATGAAGAAATATTCTGCAATTACTGATCCCCTCCCCAACCATCAACCTCAAAAAAAAATTTTTTTTTTTAAAAATAGCAAGTAGAAAAATCACAATCATTTGCTAATCCTGTAAATGTATCCTTAATTTGAAGATTGTAGATTTGTGTAATGGGCTCAGGCAACCATACTAATTCAATGCAGAATCAGCTTTTGTTGCAGGAATTGTTCATGATTATATTTCTATTGATTTTGTCCATAAGCATTTCTGTATGTGTGTTTACAGCTATAAATTTTACAAGTTTTATTTATTTATTTATTTTTTTCCCAATCCATGTTCTGGGGCATCTTAATTCAAAATCTGAAAACTTCAATATTCGTCTCAAATATTTGCTGACTGTCATTTTCTGTCCCTTTCTACAAAATGTAGAATAACTTCAGATTTTTTAAACTTGATGATGTAACTTTTTTCTCTTCTATGTGCTGTATCCCTTTGAGATATTGGTCATAATGGCTCTCCACAACTTCTTGTCCTTTGTAGCTCTTAATAAATTTTGTCTTTTTATTATCTCTTCTAAACCTTGCTTGATTTACAGCCACATCATGTTGAAACATCAGTGCTTGCACAATCAATAAAAGTTAAGCAATGACACGCCTGGCCACTACCTAGATGAGTGACTGCTTGAGAATACCAGGTGCTTATGCAAAAATAGTCTTCAGAAAGATATGAATGCACCTCTTCTCTTCCCAGCTATGAGTTAATTAGTAAGACTTGTATGATTAAATCATTATTTTCTTCCAAAAAAATTCTTACTAAAAATATTTCTTGGCTTTAAATATAACCTGCAAAGGGTTGATAAGCTGTAGTGAATGAATGAGTCAATCAAACAATCAATAAACCTTGCTTTTCCATCCACTTACTCAAGCTCACTAGATATGTTATGTGCTGTTTTCCTCTGTCCCTCTTGCTTTATGGGTATCAAATTTTCTAATTCCTCTTTCTTCATTATCCACCTTAGAAATTTCAATTATCTCTTCCTGATGTTAAGTATAAGTTTCCTTTTTGTTTCCATTTTCTCTAAAACTTCATCATTGCTCATATGTTTGATCCAAAGTATTCTCAGCAGCCTTCTGTAGAACCACATTTCTGTTGCTTCAAGTCTTCTTCATCTGTGAGAAGATTATTCAGCATTCTCTGCCATATACAAAAATTGTATTTCGTTTGGAAGTGACTTGTTACCAACAAGATTTTTTAAAGAAAAAAAAAATTTACATTCATAGATATGGCTTTTGCTATTCCTACTACCACTGATAGGCATGATGGAGTAGGAAAAAAAAATTATTTTTAACTTCAAGTTTCTGATTATCAGCTATGAAACGTTTTGGCTCTGATCAAAAATGGTGAATAGAGATTATTCCTCTCTCACCTTGACTTTTTTTTGAGTTAATAGTAAGAAGTTATTTGAATTTAAAAAAATAATAATACTAATATTGTTTGGAATTGTATTTTGTTTGGAAGTGATTTTTCTCTTAGGTATTTTATTAAAAATAGACATTGGACACATTGAAATTAGCTTTGAAAATGTTTGAAAATTGGCCACTATTGATCTCAAGAAAATAGATTGCTTTAGTCGCGGTAAGACGTGCCACAGATTTGTAACATGATCATCTTTAAGAAGCTGATGAATGCGGCTAGATATTTCTGGGAAGTTGTCCTTGTCTACACCAAGATAAATGTGATGATTTTCAATGCTGGTTTCTTTTCTTTTTTTACGTAGGCCCTTTCCACTTAAAAATCTGGTATAACACAGTCTATCAACCTTTATGTCACCTATGCCAAATTAAACTTAGTAACTGTTAGGTGTTTTTTTTATCTTTTTCCTTGTTCATGGCTCATAAGCTTCTTGTGCAATCCAGTATTACTGATTTCATCTTAATCTGTATCATTTATTGCATGCATTTTACAAGGATGATTAATTACTTGAGCGAAAGCTGTTTTATTGGTTCAGCTATATCTCCTGTAATAAGCAATAAAGCTTTTATTAGATTTACTTGTTACAAGTCTGTCATATCTCACATATTCTTTCTTCATTATATTGAATTTTTTTTCTCAATGTTCCAGATTCATTCAGGACATGACTCTCCACAAATTCCTCTCTTTTGTTGCTTTAAGTAATCCTTTGTCTTTGTGGTCCTTGTTCTGCCATTTATTTACTAAACCTTGTCAACTAGCTTACTCGCTGCCTTCC